CGCGTGGGTATCGCACCGGAAGATTGCGCCCGAAAACACTCCATAGTTTCAGTGTCGCTCTAAGATCCAGTACGAGCTTTGATGTAGAGTCGCTGGGTATCCATCCATCTTGGCTCCGCGTGTTCGCAACCCAGGCGGACTCGCCTCATGTTGTTTGGTCTACCCCGCTTTGCCAATTCGTGGGCCACGAACCGAGGCGCCGGAATTTACATGTTACAGCCGATCGCGAAAATGATCATCCAAATCACGTTGATCCGGACACAATCAATTACTCTACAAACCTACAATACATGCACAACGTTTCAAGGCACCACGTAGACAATGTCGGCGAAGCCTTCAACACGGATTAACCGCCATAATCGTCTATCCGCATGCAGAGTTAAAGAGATCGATTGCTCATTTCGGAATTTGCTCGCAAGGTTTCATAAGCTTTCGACTCAAGAACGATGAACTGGGCCACGCGGGTGATACTGTTCACAGCGCTGGTAGCAGGCCTCATCTCCACTACTGCAGCACAAAGTGGCTCCGGCTCAACTGTTACGTGTCTGACGTCGCAGTACTTGGACAAGACAACGGGCGAATGTGTCAACTACACCGGCCGTGGTCAAAAGGCTGAGACCGACTACGGTCAAGCGGTTGATTCTGGCAACACAGCATGGATGTTAATGTCCAGCGCTCTGGTAATGATCATGACACCGGGAGTCGCTTTCTTCTATGCCGGTCTGGCCGGTGAAGAAATGGCTTCCAACACCATCATGATGTCGTTCGTCAGTATGGCACTAGTGTCCATCCAGTTTTGGGCTTTCGGCTATTCCGTGGCTTTTGGATCCAACGGGATGTTCAAGTGGACTGGATACAACAACGTGGGGCAGACTCCGAGTGGCACGTACGGCACTGAGGTCCCGCACATCCTGTTCGCGTTCTTTCAGACCCAGTTCGCCATGATCACACCTGCTCTTCTCAGCGGAGGCATCGTCGGCCGAATGAAATACAACTCGTTCCTGATCTTCATCTTCCTCTGGACTTCGCTCGTGTATGACCCGTTGGCTCACTGGATGTGGTCGCTGAACCTTGATAGCTCATGGGCGATTACCGCCATGGGCTGGGAAGCTAAGATGGGGTCTCTCGACTTCGCCGGTGGCACTGTTATCCATATTTCCAGCGGATTCGGAGCCCTCGCTGCTGCTCTCATGGTTGGTAAGCGTTACAACCACGGCGAACCCGTGAAGCCCCATAACGTACCGCTGGTCATGATCGGAGTTACGTTACTGTGGTTCGGCTGGTTCGGCTTCAACGCTGGCTCATCGGGTGCAGCGGATGGTATCGCTGCCACGGCTGCTATCAACACCCACTTGGGCTCGAGTGCGGGGTTCCTGACGTGGGTAGGACTCGAGTACGTCTCGTACAAGAAGTTCGACCCTTGCGGAGCTGCTAGTGGTGCCGTAGCTGGCTTGGTTTCGATCACTCCGGCCTGTGGTTACGTGTACCCTTGGGCATCGGTAGTGTTCGGCATGATAGGGGCAGCTACAGGCTTCGCTGCTATCCAGATGAAGAATTATTTGCGTTACGACGATACTCTCGACTCCTTCGCCATTCACGGCTGCGTTGGCGTAATGGGCGGCCTGTTGACGGGTTTGTTCGCCACGTCCGATGTGAACCCGAACATCGACGGCGGAGCCTTCTATGGAAACAGCGAACAATTTCTCCACCAATTGATCTCGCAGTGCGTAGCTGCAGCGTACTCTTTTGTGGTGACGATGATTATCCTGTTCTTGCTCAAAATCACGATCGGCCTTCGCGTGGATGAAGACAAGGAGGTGAATGGTATTGACATCACGTACCATGGCGGTCTCGCGTACGACTACAGGACACAGGATTACACGGCGAAGGCGGACAAACGGGCCTCGAGTGAGTTTGCTCTGATGGGTGCTCCAACTCTTGCCCCTTTGTAAATGCCTTATCAAACGATATGTCCGCATTTACTCTTAGGACTACAATAAGAGTACAAAATGTGTTAACGCGCATAGGAAACCACACTTATTTGATAGATTTCAATGTTACGTAGTAGTGTTTCATTTCACCGGATGCTGAACGAGTTTATATTCTTGCTGTTATCCATGTTCCGGCCATCATCTTCAGCGTCGATTGGTTCAGTAAGTGAAGTTACCACTAACGTTTTTTTTTTTCCTTCTGCTTGATCATTAAAAAAAAATGCAAGATGTCAAAAAAAAAATCATAATTTTCTCTTAATTGTCTGTTACATGGCTGATGCAGAGACTGGCTAGCACGTTTGATGTTGGAACTAGGATATGAACATAACGGTAAGGAAATAAAATTCAGTTACTCGCAATCGAAATTAGATATTTCAGTGACTGATTTAATATTATTTTTCAACTACAGCTCAGATCATCGAAACACAATAATTTATTGAAATGTTGACATATGAAGTACCTCAACGGTGGTACCTGTATGAATAAATATACTATGCTAATTCGTGGAGGTCAAAAATTATGGAGTTTCATGGGAAACCTAATCGCTGTGGGTTACTCGCCACCAGCTGTCATTTTGCTACTAAAATCAAGATTAAACGGGGCCCTTAACTGATC